GTTGGCCCCTGAGTCTTTCAGGTGTTTGATCATCTCTGTGAACTTCTCTCTCTCATAATCCTGCAGCTTCTTGAATTCCTCGACCGATGTGATGTCAAGCTTGTGCTTCGTCTTCGGCTTGGGAGGCTCGAACGGACAGGTCAGGATTGCCAATTTGGCATCCTTGACTTCATCGGGCATTTGAGGGTGAGAGAAGTCTTTATCCACGATGACACCCTTAACAAGCAGCGAGTCTTCGAGGGCACCGCCGACCTTTCCGTCAACCTTAATCAGCTCGAAGTCGACATCTTTGCGTTCGAGATCTGCGACAGAAAGCACAGCATCGACGGCGATCTTTGCAAATTGATCGTGAGACTTGGAAACACTACCAAGGAATCAGTGCCGAACAGAGGGGAGATATCAAAAACCCAACATACATTTTGCTTCCCAGACTAGTCTTAGCAACCTTCAGTAAGTTGGAGGTGTCTTGCTTCGAGAAAACAATCTCATCACTAATCTTATCGAGCTGTGCAACAGCGATCTCGCAGGCTTGATCATAGCCATCTGCGATCCGAATAGGGTGGATGCCCTTGTCGATCAGGTCAGACGCCTGCTCCAGCATGGCTGCCGCCAGGACGACGACACCCGTTGTTCCATCACCAATTTCTTCATCTTGAGACTTCGAGAGTTCTACTAGCAGCTTGGCAACGTTGTTTGTGATTTCCATCTTCAAAGCCCTTTAAGTTAGCCAACTTTTGGTGAACGGCAGCGGTGCGATAGACGAACCTGGGACAAGATGGTTGCGCCGTCATTGGTCACGGTGATATCACCATCCGGAGAAATAAGAATCTTGTCGAGACCACGAGGACCCTAAACCGTTCTTAACAACTGTCGAAAAGACAATTCCACGTCCAGATCATACCAGAGAAGTCTTCACAATATTGGCAACAGTTTTGGCCGCAACAATGTGTGATTTCACGGCCTCGGTGCCATGTTGTCTCTTCTTCTTTCCCTGGCTGTCAACATCCAGCATATCAGCCATTTGCCCTGAAAAGATCGTACCCCCTTCATATTATAAGTGTAGTAAGATCCGCAACGTACTCTCGAACGACGATGAACGGCCGGCCCTGTTCATCTTTCATCACAGAAGCTATCGGACGGTCAGTAGAACTCCGAGGGTGTATGAATTCTTAGAATTATGGAAGAATTCTTCTACCTTGAGACAGATCAAGCTCTAGAAAAGGTGGTTGAAAACATCAGTACAGCCACTTCCAATGAGGGGCACGGAAGACATACGCATCGCCATCTTGTCGGTCTGCCAACACGGCAGTAAGTCCAAAATTAAAAACCTGAAAAATGCGAGGAAAACGTGAGAGAAAAGTAAAAGAAAACCCCAAAGCACGTTATTGAAGGGATGTTGGGAGTAAAGGGACCTGGACACAGCCAACAACACTCTTTCACACTGGTCTTTTTTAGAAATTCTGGAGATGTTCTGATGTCCCAGTCGGGCTAGTGAGCTGCTTTCCATATCGGGTATAGCGCCTTTTTCGTCTTCACGCGACTTGCGCGACTTGGCCATTCTCGCAAGCCGCCGGCAACAACTTATCATCAACCACCGCGCAAGTCCACTCTTCAGAAGCTCAACGAACTAATCCACTCCAGCGCATTTCAATCGAATTGCCAAACTGTTCTCTCAAATTTTTGCTTTTGCGTCTCCTTTCCGTCGGACAATGCCGCGTGAGTGATGAATTGACTTGGTCGCGCTTGAGATTTCATGTGAAGTTAACAATCGCATAGCACCCGTGGAAAACCTCTCCGATGATGAGTCGTCTGGTGAGGCGATTCCATACAATGCCATGAAGGGGGCACATGAATCAGACGGCGACAAGCCAAGCGAAAATGATGCCAATGATGACGAGGAGGACGAGGAGGGACTGTCAGTTACGATGCGCAGTGGCGACTGACAAATGGTGCTGACATGAACAGTTACATTGTTGAGAAGATTCTTGGACATGAATTCAGAAATGTGCGCATAATCATAACCTGCATCGAATTGTCGCAAATGCAGTTGCCATGGCTAATTCTGGGATAGGGAATTCTTTTCCTCATAGTAAAGTGGAAAGGGTACGAGGACCCTGCCGATCAGACGTTGGAGCCAGAGGAGAACTTGCTGTATGTTCTTGCTTGCCCTTGATTTCCGACTTGTGCCAATTGATTTCTATCAGTGAGGGCGCAAAAGATCTGGTAGAAGAATACTACCGTGTCAAGGGTGGCCGACCCGAGAAGCCCCAACGGGGCAAGCGGAAGTCGATGACAGGGCCAAAGGAGACATCAGAGAAAGCCGAACCTAAGAAACGAAGAAAGCCCCGAGCGGACGCTACCACCGAAACTGGGGACGAGGATGATGCAGAGCTCCCTGACTGGGTTCCCCGTTCTAAGAACTGGGAGAGCGAAGTTCTTAACGTTGACACAATTCTGCGTGATCCTGAAACGTCGAAATTGATTGCATACCTTCATTGGAAGAACGGAAAGAAGTCCAAGGTTTCACTTGAGACATGCTATGATAAGTGCCCAAAGAAGGCAAGTTTGTTGGTCCAATCAATTTTTCGAAGCTCTGGCTAACGTTTAGCAGATGCTTAAATTCTATGAAGAGCATTTGTGAGTTGCCTCATCCAGAGTATTAAAAAAAGATCTGTCTAGTTCTAACCGTTATTAGGGTCTTCAAGGACGCTTAAATTTGTCTCATACCGTCTGTCTTTTTTCTTCTGTCCTCTTTTCTTTTTTTTATTGTCCCTTTTCTAGTTTTGGTGTGTAATTGGTTTAATGGAGATCTTTGCCTATCGTTATTGAAAGGTGAAAAGGGGTATCTTTTCTAGATAGTACTGTTTGATCACAGTGCATATACGGGTGTCCCGTTGGTGGTTTCAATTTATCATTTGAACTATGTTGACAATTGGTATCTCTGGGGAATGCAAAAAGAAAAGGGAGAGAAAAGGAAAACTAAAGGAGAAAGAGGACGTTATGACATAACAATTCAGAGCTTTCCCGTCTTCTATCAAATATTCCGGACTAACAACCTTTTGCTTCCTGCCTTCGATCAATGAATGTACTTTAAGGCTTGCTTGATGTATGTATGCTGTTGGAATTAATTTTTTTTTATTTTTTTTTTTTTAGCTTTCTGTGCCATCGAGGCTAGCACCTCTTGTCATTTCAAGATATTCCCACCTGGTGTTGAAGAACTCTGAGCCGTGCTTCTTCAAGACTCGTTCGACAGGCCGGGTTTCTTTTGCCTCAATACACCCGTCGTCTTCGGCTGTCCATACACCGGGCATACTGCCAGGAATTCCTTTTCCTGCAACAATATAATCTAGCACCTTATCGGCTAGATGTGGGTCCATGCTAGTGCAGCGCAAAGCCTTGATTATTTGCTCCTCATTCTCTGCTCTCCCTGTCCGCAGACGATCGTCGATCCACGTGTCCATATCCTGCTCGGGTGCCTCTTCAGGCTCAGGTTCTGGTGTTGACGGTAAGAAGGGTAGTTCTAGAAAGAAAGGATCAACAGCGTTGTCAGAGTTATAGTCCAGGGATTCTGGTGCTTGAGGTTGTACGGATGTTGATATGTTCTGGGTGCTAGATGTCTCAATATTCACTGAAGGTGCGCGCATTGGGGTCCTTTGACCCTCTGGTGACTTGCTTTGCTCTGTATGTATCATAGCGGGAATGGAATGTTTAGAGGTTGTATCAATCACCCTCCTCTTTTGACTGGTCAGGTGTACTCCATTTAACTCGCGATGAGTGTTGTCGGGCTCCGGAGTCCGCTTTCGTTTTCTATCATCCAGCTTATTCATAGTTGAATAGTCGCATTGGGAATGGTTCTCATGTGACTGTGCGGATCGTTCTCGCCCTGGAGATTGTCTTTGGCCGTCCTCTCGAGTGGATGGTGGATGGTCCGGTTTCGACATACCCCCCGGACGTGGGTGCCCACGGAGTGTCTTCAAATAACGGTCACGATATGATTGGTAAGTGTGTCTTGGATTCTGCACAATATAAACGGTAAGAACTTAACGATAAATTTACTCAATTCGGAGTGTCAGGTGGTAGATTACCTGCGCGGCTAGTTTCTGGTAGATTTTATTGCCATGAATGGAGGCGTTCGGATCTTCTTCATACGGCACCATCTGATCCCATAAGTATTGATCATCTTCCAAGGTATATGGGAGCCGATGGCGTCTGGTTGGAATATGAGTGGCCCCGACAGGGCGAGCTGCAGATGGTCCAGCTCTGTGTTTCTCAAGATCTTCCAACTTTCCATTTCGAACCGACCACTCAACGTACCGATAAGAATACCTGGTACACTGTCAACAAAATATGGCATAATGAAAAGCTTCGCAAATAGGTGTAGTGGACTGACGTGTCCGGTGGGAGATTCTTTTTGGCATGGTCAACCAATTTGATATCTGCATCCTTCTCGTATAGCCGTATGATACCACCATATTGCTATATACGCGTCAGATTAAGGACGTCAAACCACCAGTTTAAGGTTGATAGTACCTGGATGATGTCTTTGAATCTACTTCTTTGAGGGATATTTTGTGATAACCAGAACTGTTGCCCTTGGAAAAGAGGGCTAGATGAAGTCCTGGAATTTTTCTCCTCCATAGCCCCCATATTCTCTATCATCCTCTCCGGTCTGCTATGTCCTGATAAAGCCGTAGAGGAGTCCAATCTTCCCCTCTTCTTGGGTAAGGTCCCGGATTCCAATGGCGTTTTTGAGACGCGGGATCACGTGCCAACATGACCAAAAGAGATTCTATGGGATGCAGAAGGGGTGGGTAGGAACTGCTAATAAGATCCTACTCACTTGCTATCAAACTGTCGTTATGCTAGGTGTAACATAATGATACTCAAAATGTGAATGAAAGTCCAGTGTGGCTGTGTCAGGTATCCGTGTAGAAAGGGTAAGCGTCGTGTATATACTTTTACCTCATAGAGCTTTAGCATTCGCCTTGTTAACATATCTAGGGGCGGTAGCTCAGTGGGAGAGTGGAAGATTGCAATTATGTGGTTCTAATTGGCTGCAGCTTCACATTGCAAGCTATCTTTAGGTCGCCGGTTCGATCCCGGCCCGTCCCTCTTCTTTTTCAATTAATTTTTTCGAGAAAAAATTAAGTCTTTGCTCGCTAATTAAAAAAAATCCTTGCAGTCAGCAAGCAAAAGTATTTTTTCACTTATCATTATTCAGAATAAAAAGTGAATGATTATTCATTTGCGCGGTGTCACGTGTAGATAGTGAGTAGATAGGTAGTTCGGTAGTTCCTTCTATAGAGTTGATCGTTGACTACGGAGTACTTGCTCCGTACTTACTCCGTCCTTGTATTGATCTCTCATCTCACCCAGCCTTTGTCAGGTCAGGCTCTTTCACCATGATAATGCTTTTCCAGTAGGTCCCAGGTATAGCATTATTGCACATCACCTTCACACAGCCAATAAAGGGGTGTATGTGTATATTCAGCCCAAGACGCGACAGGCGTACCTCATATGCAATAATGGGCGTCTTGAGGACCATTGCTCTTGTTATTCTAGGCATTTCGGCCTCTACTTTTGTCGCCCTTTTTGGGAAGCTACCAGCATTCCGGTAAGACGAAAAGGTTTCTTCCGACTCAGTTCCATGACTGATGCAAGCTTCTACAGCAAGACTCCTGTTGGCTTTCTCCACAGGGTTGTTTGCATATACATCCCAAGTGGCATAGCTTCTGTGGATTCCCGCCTATTAGGTGGCTGGCTGGTATCCTCGTGGAACCGGTCTGGTACCTATATACTTCATAAGAATCATCCACTTGTCCTTGTCGGTACACTGACTAATGAATCAACTCCCACGCAACTTTGCTAACCTCCCTAGCAGATCTTCTTTGCGTCACTCCTCATAACAGGACAATGTATGTTCATTCCGAGTGCATGGCTCAGGGTTTCCGCGGCCCATCGGTTCTGGATACCAATTGCTGCAATTCTTCCATATATCTTCCTTTATGCTAGCATTGTTACCAAATCCTTCATCACCCCCAGGAACCATGCACAAGAAATGGAACGCTATCCGTACGATAAGGTTACCTTTCACCCAGGGCGCTACTGCAGCTCGTGTGAATTCCTCAAGCCAGCGCGAAGTAAGCATTGCAGTTTCTGCAAGGCATGCGTTTCTCGCCACGACCATCATTGTGTATGGCTGACTAACTGTGTTGGGTTGAACAACTATCGTTATTTTTTGGCCCTGATTTTGTCTCTTTGCATAATGCTGATCTATGGCTCCTGCATTGGCTTCTCCCTTCTGTGTCAGTCGTGGGAGAAGTTGATCCCGCCAGACTCACCGCTACGGACAACGAGACAAAACTGGGTAGTATTCCTCAATATATGGACGGCAGTGATCTCTACCGATCTCCGTATTGGAGGGGTCACTTTGTTAATGGCCCTGACAGCACCTTTGGCGATGGCATTTCTTGTGTATCACACCTATCTTATTTGGGCTGGCATGACCACAAACGAAAGCGCAAAGTGGTCTGATTGGAAAGAAGATGTCGCTGATGGTATGGTTTTCAAGGCCATTCAGGCGGAGGCCTATGACAACTCGCCTTTGCTGCGGGAATATCGGAATCCCCAAACGTATTGGCCGGTGACTAGTGACCAAGTGCTTGTCCTTACAGGAGGTGAGCCACCGAGGGTTGGCTTCGTCTTTTCACCCGACTCCAATGAGATTCGCCAACCTAATGACAGAGAGGCACCTATTGATCAGAAATGGGCACTAGTGCACAGTATGGGGGAAATTGACAATATCTATGATCTTGGATTTTGGGATAATCTGCGTCATGCCTTTGGCTTACCTGTTCGGCGGAAGGTATCGTAAGGTTATACTTGAACGTGGGAGTTGAATTTGCATACGGAGTACATACTATGTATCCTTAGGTCTTTTTTTTTAGTACGTAGTATCGTACTCTGTACGGAGTACTACGTACTGTACAGTATCTACATAATAAAGACCAGCACTGCAGGAGACGAGATATTTGACCAATCACGTAATTGTGTGGTACTCTCCGCCCGGAGCCGGAAAAAATTCCCTTTGCTAAGCGGCGTTTCTAATCTTCCCCATCCAACTCAATTAATTATTGATTCCAACAACTTGCAACTTGTCGCGCATAGTCGAAGAGAGAGCAGTTTGTCAAAATGGCAGACTGGGCCGCCGCAGACATGAAGCCAAAATGTACCCCAGCCGAGCTCATGTTGAAGGTGATCCTGACTGGAACCTTAAGCCACTATGAGACTCGGGGGATGATTGACGATAAACGCCTCGAACATATGTTATCTGCCGGGAAACAGATCCTGTACAAGACACACCAAGAGAGCGACGTTAGGTATGCTTCTCTTCCTTTTCAGTCACTTGTGTTGTCTCTTCACATATTACATACATACATACTGACTATATTTCCACGACAGACATAATTTGGGCCTGTCACCAGACATTTGGCAAGGCTTCACAGATGTCTTGACTAAAGCAATCCCCGTTCTAGAATCACAATCATTTGCTTGGAAGTGCCCGCCGACTGCGAACTATGACCATTCCTCCTCCAACTTGATAGCCTACAATTACTTTTCTCTTGCTAAAGACATCGAACGTCTAAATGACTTATGTACCATCGCCCGTAACCTCCTCGCGACGACAAAGAAAGCACAGAATATGGCTGCAGAAAAAGGCTTTGATCAAAGGATCCTAGCGCTGGTAGACACGTGTGTTAGAGTAACCGCCCGCGGTTTTGACGGAGAAACAAATGCAAGGAATGAAGAGCGCTGGCAGAAAGTAGTCAACCTCTATAAGCGTTTGTTGATTACGTGCCTCCAGTTCATGCATAACTTTATCATGCACAACGAGCAGCGGAAGATGGTACTCTGGTTGGACCTTTTCGGATATCATTCCACCGGTGATTCGAACATCATTCAACCTAGGGAACCGCTAGACCCGGCTAGTGGTCAGCCCGAGGGTGCCGCACCGATCGTTAAGACTGGAGAACGAGTCGTCAACCCCCCGATTAGAGCTCTTTACGATCAGACAGCGGAAGACTTGTTGCTGGAGACTATCTCCAACTTCCCCAGGGAGCCAGCGACAATCAAGGAAGAAGCAGCAATGTTACTTCTCGCAAATATCAAGGACCACATGGAGAAACTTCTTGGCCGTGACCTGACAGCAATCCAAGAAATGGGCAAAGACCCGGAACAAGTTAAGGAGATTCGGGCTGCTCTTACCGCGATACTAGGTGCGAAGGTCGATGGATTTTCAGACCTTCAAAACAGAGCTAAAGATCTTCCACCTGCCCTTCCCGAAGACGAGCCACCGCGAAAGAAAGCCATACTTACAATAGATCGAAGCTCGACGGCCGGATTCCCGCGTATTTGCTGGGCTGACCTGCCCGACCTCAACGCGTATGGCGCTCTTGCAGCAGGGGATGCGACTATCATGGAAGAAGATACAAGCATGCCACGGTCTTCACAATCTGCCGCGGAAACACTCCAGGAAGCGAAGGATGAGCTGATGGCACGGCTTCAGGAGTCGTCTCAAATTGGGGGTGACGGCGATCAGGACTACGATGCCGGCGATGCTGGGACCGTTGGCGACGACGATTCACGTAGCCTCGAAGCCGTGGCGGATGGAAGCATAGAAGAGGATGAGGATGAGGATGAGGATGACGACGATGATTATCGAGGCCGCCCAGGCGATCAACAGCGTGGTCTGTTGACGGACATCCCTCTGGTATTAGGTCCGGCGGAGATAGAGGCGCTTCCGATGATTATCCAAGCGGGGATTGTCGACAGCTTCGGACTAAAGGGTGGCGAGAGAACTGGTTCAAGGAATATGCAAGCCCTTAGATGCCATATTCTGCTCACTCAGGAAACTGGGCGAAATCTACTTCGAGAACTCTTGATTTTCATTGCCGCATGGGACCTCCCCGATGATGAACTCTATTTCAAGATGATGGTGCAGATTATGGACGCAGTTCTAAGAAACGGTCTGATGTCTCATGCCTACTCGGACTTCGGCCAGCCAAAAGACATCATCTCTCCGGCCCAGGCAGTCGTCGTCAAGATCCTGACTCACATCTTCAGGTCTAAATATTCCCCTGCTTCCGTCACAGGATCAACACAGACCAACACGACAAAGAACCCAGCGCCACTTTCTAGGGTCGATATCCTCACTGTCCGCTACATATTCACCATCTTCCGCGGCAATATCATCCCGGAAACCTGTGCTTTAATATACCTCCAGGGCCAGATTCGAGCCGGACGGGCGCTTCCTGAGGACTTTCCTCTGAACTTGTGGGATATGGAACGGGTTTACGAAGGTGTATACCAGTTTTTGGAGTTCTTCGCCGTTCTCACCGAAAACAATGACTGGAAGAACCTGCTGGTCAAGTGGGAGATTGTTTACGACCTAGTTACCTTGATCAAGGAACTTGAAGCCAGCATCCCCAAGGGACAACTGAGCCAGTTGCCTCTCGGGCGCAGCAGCCCTTCAAAGGAATCTCCACCGAGCATAGCTCCTGGACCAGTGGCGGTTGAACGACCTTATGATCCCAGCGATCCGGATCCGGTTGACGGCGGCGGTGGGTCTCGAGCCGAGTCGCCTCCGATAACCGAGGATCCTTCTGAGTTTGAGTGGCGGAATCTCAAGAAGCTTGTCGTGCTCGTCCTTTCGTCCCTGGTATGGAAGTGCCCAGAGGTCCAAGACCAAATCCGTCGACATGGCGGCGTTGAGACCATCCTATCGTGCACCAACTTCGACGCGCACAACCCCTACATCAAAGAGCACGCTGTGATGTGCCTGAAGTTCTTGTTAGAGGGCAACCGTGAGAACCAAAAACTCGTGGAAGAGCTCGAGGCACGAGAAGTGGTGAGGGACGAAGGCGGACTACTGGAGCGGAGCGGATTCGAAGCCGTGATCGACAAGACCGGTAAACTGGCCATCAGACCTAAGGACGGGTCAGGAGAAAAGAAATAAGAATCAATAGATAGACAATAATAACCACAGTCCTTCCATGCGTTGGGCATAGATAGACGAAAAAAAATTCATACAATGATGATAATCCATCATCGTC